ACGGTTATGCTTTCTTAAAATACGCTGGTGGGTAACTTTGTCGAATGCTTTGGAGAAGTCAATGAAAATGGCGTCGGTCTGAATATTATAATCGAAGCTTGAATAAATATCAGAAAAGAAAGGCGGTTAGCTGGGTTTCACAAGAGTAAGATTTACGAATTCCGTGCTGATTTTCAAAAAGAAGGTTATGAGAGTCAAGAAAGTTTATTATATTCGAGTTAACTATATGCTCCCCGAGCTTAGAAGGAACACTGGTGGGAGAGATGGGACGGTAATTACTTATTAGTTGGCGATCAACAGTTTTGTGAACAGGTATTACTTTAACTATTTTCCAGTCACGTGGAACTATGGAAAGCGTGAGCGATTCTGAGAATATTTCAGAGAGGAAAACAGAGGAAATGTGGTTAGTGTTTATTAACACTTCCGAATTAACTTGGTCGTCTCCAGAGCTCGAGGAGACATTTAAGTTTTCTATTGCTTTCAATACTCCTGCGTGGTCAATTATGATAGGATTCATGTGAGGGTGAGATAATGGGAATGAGTCGGGAAAGTTTAGCAAGTCTTCTTTAGTAATCATTGATGTGAAAAAATTGTTGAGGTAAAGAGCGCTATCTTCGTCTGAAAGCGGGATGCCTTTGTCGTTTATGAACTGCAAAGGAAGAGAAAGAGCTGGGTTGACCACTTCCAGAACTTTTTGGGTTTATTTGTTAAAATGTTGGGGAGGTCGTGAGTACAGAACTTGGTTTTAGCCTCAGTAATGGCGGTTTTGTATGTTCTAGCACACGCATGTTATGCATCCCACGAGGCTGAATTGTTGACAGATATCGCTCGTTTATAAAGTCGCTTTTACTTGTTAGCATGACTGTGCACCGTTTTGTTATACCATGGGGGACGGTTATCAGATATGATGCGGGTCAGTAGGATGAAGCGCTCAACTAACTGGGTTAGCTTATTTCTATAGAGCGTCAAATTTTTATCGACGGTTCTTTCCTCGATATTAACAGATAATGATAGGTAAAAGTCTTCGAGGCATAAGTTGATAGACACATAGTCGGCTCTCGAGTAGTCGCGAATGTATTTGCAATAATGTGATTTCCGAGGGACAAAGAGAGATAGTGTTATGTCGATGAAAAGATGGTTACTAATTCCTGTTAAGTAGGTAACGTTGCTAAAAAGAGAAGGTTTCTGACTTAAGCACAAGTCGAGTATATTGCTGCAGCAGTCGGTAATGCTAGTAGGCGAGGTGATAATATTTGTTAGGCTATAATCTAGGAAAATATCTCTAAAATCTTGAGAGGCAGTGCAAGGGGATGTGAAGGTAGACCAATTAATATTCGGGTAAATAAAATCACCAAGAGGTACAACAGAAGCATTAGGATATTGAGTAGCGAGTTCAGAAAGACGCTCATTAAGCTCAAAGGTGAATTCCTTATTACTATCAGGTGGTCTATATCGCACGCCGAGTACAACAGAGAATGCCGTAGGGAGGTAAACCACGCGACTTTTATGTTCAATATCGGCCATTTTTTTTTTAAGAATTCAGTAAAATATTTTGTAGGAAAATGTTTTTAGCACATAGTGTTTCCCTTAATGCTACCACAAATTGCTTTTAGGTCTTCATATTGTAGCCTGTTGTTTATCATAAAATATTAATATAAACTTTTTAGGACATTATTAACGCATTGGTCACCTTAAAATGCTGGGAATGCGTGACAAAACCTATTGGATAATTTAGGAAACCAATTGACTTCCTAAAAAGAGTGTTCATTTCGCAGTACCGTTTCACACATTTCTGAAAACAAATGTGGTTGTTACTGTTAAAGCAGGTAGGCAGGCGAGCTGGTTAAGGATAGGCATAGTAACCCTGGAGCTAGGGGACAAAAAGGGACGGACAGGCAGTCGCGGCTTGTTTTCGCCAAATTCAAGGTGGCGTAAAAAATAGTTCGAACAAAAATATTTTCTAAAATTAACTTTTACGTCACCAATAACACATACATCTTTTTGACAAAATCCGTAAGAATGGAATTTAGGCCTGGATTGTTTGGCGTGAAATGACACTGCTATTTTTTATAGAAGAATAACTTGATTCAATCTGGTATGCTGATTAAACTGCTCCGCGGTATATTAGAACTTATTGCTAGATGAAAGCGTTGCGATAAGTCTTTAGATAGTCAAGGTTATGGGTTTTCGCATGTGGTACTTGAGATGTAGATTGACCGAAGTCGAAAAAAAGCATTGATTAAAGTAAAAATTCCCGACGACGTTGTCCGACTGAATGAATCTCGTGAGGAACATAATAATTGTGCAGTCCCCATTCTCTTCACTTTCGTGGTCCCCTTAAGATAACTTCTTAACGTCTGGAATAGCAAACCTAAGAAAATATAACACAATTAAGAATTCAAAAATTAATATTCTAAGCTCTTTTTTACACTAAAGAGCGCGCTTGAGCCAAATTTTTAAAATAATATTTTGCAGCCGAATAAGTCACAAACAATCAAGCTCTCTTCGGGTGTAGAAATACAGTGATGTCTCGTTAATATGATCAGCTCTGTTACGATGGGACTTCGTCGTCTTCATTTTGCAATAGGCAAGACGCGCTGCCTCATCACTGGCTCCACCAAGGACCAGCACTTAGAGCGACTCGAAGCAGTTCTACGACGTTTGAGTCAAGCTAACCTTAAGGTCAAGAAAGGATAGTGCCATTTCAAAATGTCGGAGGTTGAATTCCTCGGATACCGAGTTGATGCTGCAGGCATCCGGCCGACACAAGAAAAAGTCAAGGCGATTGTAGGAGCGCCAGAGCCAAAAGACAAGTCGGAACTACAATCATTTCTTGGAATGATTGCCGTCTACAATCGGTTCCTCAGACATCGAGCAACTGTGGCCGAAAGCTTGCATCGCTTGCTCTACAAAAATGTGCCATGAAAATGGGAGTCCCGACATAAGAAGGACAACCAAGCGCTGAAGGACTTGCTCTCGTCAGAAGAGATCCTGGCGCACTACAATACTGATAAGCCGCTCTACTTGTCATGCGATGCCTCTCCCTACGGTGTATGAGCCGTACATTCCCAGCTGAACAACCAAGGCCGCGAAGCTCCCATTGCTTACGGGTCTAGAACGCTCGGTAAGAGTGAAATTAACTATGCCCAGCTTGACAAAGAAGGGTTTGCCATAGTGTTCGGAGTTAAACAGTTTCATCAGTATATTGCTGGAAGGTCCGTCACAATATAGACTGACCACAAGCCCCTGCTGGGCATCCTCAACTCAGACAGGCAGATGCCACTGGTACTGTCCCCGAGGATGCTACGCTGGTGCCTGCATCTCCAAAACTATGACTATAACCTGGTTTACCGACCCGGTGCACTCCATCAAAATGCGGAAGCCCTGAGCCGTCTTCCACTGCCCAGCAACGTAGACGAACCGCGCGGTCCAGAAGACATCCTCATGATTGAGGCGCTCGAGACACCCTCCCTCTCAGCAAAGAACATAGCCCGTCTTATGGAAAAGGACCCCCTCCTGGCGAAGGTCTACCAAGCCGTCCAGTCCGGAGCCTCCAAATGCATGATCGGAAAACAGTTCGCAAGTTATATGAGGCAATTTACCGAGCTATCGACCCACAAGGGATGCGTCTTCTGGGGATCACGTGTGGTTATTCCGAAGGAGGCACAGCCAGCAGCCATGAAACTCCTGCACGCAAACCATCCAGGAGTAACAGCCATGAAACGCTGTGCACGAAGTCATCTTTGGTGGCCTGACCTCGACAAAGAAATCGACAGGTGCGTCCAACTCTGCTCAAAGTGTCAGCAACAAGTACGCGCTCCTGTTCCAGCACCAAGTCCAACTTGGGGACGCCCTCAGGAGCCATGGAGTCTACTTCACATGGACTTCGCCGGTCCTTTTGAAGGAAAAATGCTTCGGATAGTTGTTGACGTATATTCCAAATGGTTGCAAGTCCACATCTGCGCGTCAGCAACTACTGCCACCGGCATTGACGCCCTCCAATCGATGTTTGCCACATTTGGCATCCCGAAAGTCGTCTGCAGCGACAATGGCACGCCATTTTTAGCCAAGGACACCAATCAATTCCTGCAAGCCAATAACATCCGGCATATCACAAGCGCCCCCTATCACCCAGCAACCAACGGCCAAGCCGAACGAATGGTTCGGGAAACAAAAGAGTCGCTCCGCAAACTTTCCGAAGGAAGTCTGAACTGCCGATCGGCACGGTTCTTGTTTCAGCAACATACAACACCAAGCTCGACAATTGGGGAAACGCCAGCAGAGTTGATGTTCGGACGACAATTGCTTTGCCCATTGGATTATATTCATCCGCGGGGTAAGGAATGTGAAGAAGGCTACAAATACGCTAAGTTCAGCAATTAACAAGCCATCTTTATCAGGGGATTCGCGGGACAACCAAAATGGATAGAAGCTAAGGTGCTCCGTCAGGTTGGCTCCCGATCATTTGAAGAAGTAACGACTTCAGATGGAAGATTACAAAGAAGACACATCGACGACATGCGAAGTCGGTTAGCGCAACATTCGGAACAATGCAGTTCAACATCGTCTCGAATTCCAAGTTATCCACTTTTTGACTCAGATCCTGATGAACAAAAAGATGTATGTGCCTCAGGCCGGGCATCTTCAGAGACGGAATTCTCAACAGCGAACACATATGGTGCGTTTTCACTTCCAGAGCCTACACCGATCATCAAGGGACCGGGCGCTGCTATGCCGAATACTGAACCGACATCAGAAAGTTCTTCTGGACCATCCTCCTCGTCTGTTCCGGTTCCCCTACCCAGGACACGCCCCAAGCGCGTTACAAACAAACCAGTGCGTTTTCGAGAAAGTGATTAGTTTTATCGAGAAGGGGGAAGTGTTACGATGGGACTTCGTCGTCTTCATTTTGCAAAAGGCAAGACGCGCGGCCTCAGCACGGGCCACGCCTCACGCACTGTTCCTGGTTGAGCTAGCGACATGTTCGCAGGGCTCGTAGCTCACCACCCGATCTCTGCAATCTTCTCCTGTAAATAATATGTAAATAGACCACCACTGAATAAGCTCCGTTCCTGTAACAAAATGTCCATAATGTAAGCTGTCCATTATAACGAGACAAAAATGAATGTATTTTCTTAGTTTGTTCCCGAAAGTAGTGTTCATATAGCGGGGTACACATATCAACGGGTTCATATTCCTGAGACATGACTGTATTTTGTATTTATTGACAGATTTCACGCCCGTCTAACATGATGCAAGAATCCTACGAACCTTCCATTTAGAATAGGTACCGGTCGTGTGCAAGTAGACCCCGACGTCCTTCATCTTGTCGAAGGCCGTCTTCCACGGAATGAAGTCTTGCTCCCTCAACAGGTACTTTGTCGCCTCCAGTGCTAGTGTGTAGTTCACCATACCCGCCCTGAAAAATGAATAAAGGTACGTCATGTGGCCGTGGTTCATTTAATATACATACATTTTGAATGAATCAATCAACAAAAAAAAATGTGTGTTATAATTTTAAAAGTACTTTTCGGAGAAAAAATCTAGTTCCAACTGCCAAGCACATATAGAGGAGAGCTCATTAACGCTGATTGCTTCAGTATACGATTGAAGAAAACAATGTCTGGGAGGCATGACTCACTTTGTTTCTCAAATTTAAACGACAAAGTCCCGCGGGAGGGCACGACTACGCAAGATATGTCCGCGAATGAATGAATCTAACAAATAAAAGAAGGAGAAAAGAACAGTCACTCAGAGAGAAAAGACAAGACCGGTGGAAATCCCATTCGGCCACAGGTTGTCCCACAACCTCAAGAAAGTTGGCGCACACTCAAGAGTGGCTGTGGTGTTCTCTGCCCCGTAAAAATTGTACAACCCGTGCTCAAGATTTGATGCAAAAAAAAAAACAACAAAATCATGTACTAAGGAACACGCAGCGCAGTGCATTGATTGCGCAACGTCGGTCGCCGACGACATAGGCACGACTTGAGGGAGAGCGTACGCTGCACAAACCGAGATATGTGAGGTGTAAAAATAGGAGGGCACGTGAGCATGCCCTATCTGTCACAAGCTCCCCATAGGGCAATCTCTCCACTCATTGTGATAGAACGCCCTGTGCGCCTAATCTTTGAAAAGAAGAAAACTGCAGGAAAATTTAGAAATAAAACTGGGACAGGATTATTTGAAGACTACAGCACGAGGAGTGGAGGGTGAGGATATCTACGTCAATGTACCGTAGGTGCACTTAAGCGAGAAAGTGTTTGCCTTTTTTGTGTCAGGAGCTTCACTGTGTGTATTAATAGCGAATGTGTTTTCAATATCGTTCAGTTGTAAGTAGCGCTTGGTCCTATTCCTTTTTTCTTGTGCCCACGCAGTTTTTAAGAGAGTTTTTACTGAAACATGCTCGAACTAGCCCACCTAGTCATATTAGTGCAATATTTAACGGAACACCATTTCTTCCTACCGTCCATCTTCGTTACGCGCGAAACAACGCGTGGAGATACATAAGCTTAGCGCCAGAGTTGTACGGTTCTTATCATTAAACTACTTCTAAATGTTTACTTTTCAAGGCAATTTCGTATTGGTTTGAATACGTTTATTAGGAAGTAATCACGAAGGTATTCCGAACAGTTACTAATTTGTTTCTTCCCTTCCTAATAGCGACCTACGCTAGCACACGTTTATTACCCAAGGAATTCTCGAACCAAATCTTCGACAGGAAACAAGTTTACCGGAATTGGTGGGTTAAAACGATAAATAAACTGTTTCGAAGGCCGGTGCACATGTTATCAGTGAAGGCAGGGCAACGACGTAGCAATTGCCACGCTAGAGCCAACTGCGTCTCCCTCTTGCCGGCAGCTCTCGCTCTATGGAAATGTAAGCTTGGGACTCTCAAGCAGCGTTAGCTTACTGAAGAAGCAAGTCGCTACTTTGTCGCCACGAATCCTTTGCCCTTAGAATGGCTGCGAAGCCGTTCCAGCGCCCGGCGTACCCTACGCAGCGTCCTCCAACAACCGCTCGTATAGCATCGGAACCTTCCTTCTGCGAGCGCCGGCGGTTCGTCGTCGCGGGGCTCAAGGTCGCGGGAGTTCATATTCGCAGGGTTTCATGTTTGCGGGGGTTCATAAAATGCTCACATTCAAGTAGCGACGATGAATCGTCGGCGCTCGCAGATTACCAGGGCCAGAAAGGTTGCGATGCTGCGCGGGCGGTCGCTGACAGGCCCTGCTGCCTGGGGTACGCCGAGCACTGGAATCTTTTCGCCGGCATTCGCAAGGCAGAGATTCTCAACGACAAAGCAGCGTCCTGCATCATCAGCAAGCTAACGCTGCCCGAGAGTCCCACGCTCACATTTTATCAGAGCGAACGCGGACAGCCAGATCGAAACCAAGTCGTCTCTCGCATCGCCATTGCTGCGTCGTTGCTCTGACTAATCTATTTACATGTGCACTGGCATTCCATACAGTTCTCTCGAGTCTTCATGAGCTTCAAATAGACACGTATATAGGGGGAAAGAGTTTCGTGACAACACAAAAGTTCACCCCGGCGCGTAAGCAGCGGTGCAATGTGCGTCGCCGCTTGCGTCGAGGATGGCGAAATATACACAAAAACACAAATCAACAGAAAAATAACTAATATTGTTAGGCACGCGATACCCTAGGTACGTCCTATTATCTCTCTGCTCTACGATTTCGACATATCAGCAAGCGGTGTTGCTAATTTTTCTTTTCTTTTTTTTTTTAATTATGAGACATTAAAGTCGGTGAGCCTCTTGGAGCACACAGCCCATGTGTAATAGCGGTGCGCTGAGATTGTAATTAATCACAGTGCTATAGACTAAACTCATTGGTGAAAAACGTATTACGGCAAAAAGTTCTTAAACCATGTAATCAGAAATGCCAACACGCTGCAAAGATTCCCAAAATTGAAGTGTAAAAATGCGAGCCTAACAGTGTACACATGATTCTAAATTTCTTAGTAAAAAAATTTTATATATATATATATAAATATATATATATTTATTTATTTATTTACTTATTCATTTGTGGACACCGTGCGCAAAAAATATTCGCAATTAATTCTTCATTTTAAATTATAATGTTGGCAAAATATTATATATTCAAAACTGCCCCGTTTTTGGTCACTTTTGAGGAGGACAGCTTTGAAGGTCCGAAAGCTGGCCTTCATGGAGCTGCCCTGTTCACTCGGTATTGTCAACAGAATAGACGCTATGCGTGGTTTAGGCCAATTGTGTCTCCAATTAGGGTCACATGACTACAGTCTCGAAGCTAGTGATAACGCAGAACACGGCACCTGCCTAGAGCCGAAGATCACAGATTGCATCCACTGCACTCTGGACCTTGGGTCGACCTTTCAAGACGATACAAGTGACACATCCTCTCGTTGTGTTCATGGTTGGTATGCCCCTGAAGATCAGTCTTTGTGATTGCGACCCCGTTCTGGACTTGAAGGAGCTTTGCTTTTCAACTCCTCTCTTTTCCCCTTTCTCCTTGAACTGAAAGCGTTGTAGAAGGTGGACACTCGCCGGACAAATACACCGTAGAGTTTTTATCGCTTGACTCCACTCTCTCTGCGCATGTAACGGAAAGAGCGTGACCACGCAGTTTGACGGACGACGCATTAGCCATTCCCAATCCCGGAACGCCTGCTTGCGTACATAGTTTCGCGTGTCGTGCGGCCTGCGGGGCTGCTGTGGACTTCGCTTCTATGGTAAATGGTATCTTGATCGATCGCTCATTGCCGACATAGGGGTATGTCGGCAACCAGCGATTTTGTCAAAGAAGCCCAATACATTGTTATGATGCGTTCAGTGATCGGTTTGCCAAATGATAGCTGGTGCTATATCGTGGTGAATCTTCACGGATCCCTTCCTTCTCGGTTTTGTGTTTGAGTGGTTGTTCTGCAGTGCCCATGCCGACATATATATCGGATTACATCTTTCAAGGCCGGTATCTTCAACGTATGTGCGCTGCAACGTAGTCGGCGTAGATTGACTGTTCTCCAGTGTGTATCTTCTGGCAGTATCTATCTTCTGGCAGCTGGAGAGCAATTTTTCCGAAATTCTACTGCAGTTGCCTGCCGTTAGTTGTCTGAACTCACGTGAAAGCATCAGGTAGAATAGTGACTTTCTTATTCTCCCGGATTTTGGTGAAAACACGTTTCATGGACACCTTTTTGTGAATACACATTTTATGGACACACGTATTGTCGACATGAACGTTTAATCAACATTATTTAAGCGAATTGCACGCAGCAGGGACATTTCGTCGCGCCTGTGTTCCTGAGGCGCGTGCTCACCGACCCAGCCCGCCCGTTCACGCGAGTTCTTGAAAGGTCAGCCGCAACTCATTACAAAAAGAAAGAGCCTATTTTGAGTTGTTTATAAACATTACGTTTTAAAGAAACGATTTGTCAATGAAAGATTGTTCGATGAACTGACTGCAGCACCAATGAGAGGCGACTGCCAGAAGAATTTCCGGAAAAAAAGTTGGCCTGCTGCCAAGAGATTAGACACTACCCTGGAATTACCTTTGGTTCTTGTTTGCTTTGCAGTCTTCTCAATTGCATAACAGCTTTGTAGTACTTCTTCACATATTACAGATGTCTTAGTTTGTACATGTCTACAGAATGGGCTCTGTGTAATAAATTTTAGAAGATTTTCAAACAATTCCTTGTGTCTGTTTACCTGCCCATTTGCAAGCACTGGGTGAGTGCATTTTTTTGTTGTTGAAGGGTGTTTTTCGTGTTTTAAGCGGGTTTATTAAGTTCGACACGTCTTAAATGAGTTTGAGATGTTGAACCTTCTTTTATATGTAAATACAGGTTGTTTTTTTTAAGATGTACAGTCACCACAAATAATTTGTTTCACATTTCATACTATTGCAGTAAATAGAAAAACTACTGGCAGCTATAGCACGATGGTGAAGAGACCGATATGACGAGCTGTAGAAGAAGCTATAGCAAACCATATAGAGCGCAATAGGCGGCTAATGAGACTACATAAAACGCCATAGCTGCTATAGCACTCTGTCTGAAAAGATCCAGAGAGAAAGCCATAGAGGTCTCTGTATCACACTATACAAAAAGCTACAGACGGCTAAAGGAACCATAGGAAATGCCATAGGCAGCTATGCACAATGGGTATAGAGCACCATAGGACAAACTGTAGAATAAGCTATAGTGGATTATGAAGAGAGCATGAGGTGGCTAAAGAAACGACAGGAAAAACCATAGGCAGCTAGAGCAAGGTGTCTAAAAAGATTTATAGAGTAGGTCATAGAGATCTCTATAGCAGATCATACATGAAGCTATAGACAGCTAAAGAAACCATAGGAAATACCATGGGCAGCTATAGCATCCTTTCTAAAGAGACCCCCATAGAGTAAACCATACAAAATC